GCATGTATTTATATTTACTTTTTTAAGTCAGCAACTTTCCTGGTTTCCTGTGTCTTTTGTGTTGCTAAGAAATAATGGAAATGTTAGGGCAGCACTGTGAGTTTGTTTTGTTGTTGTTGTTGTTGTTTTTTAGCTTTGTCATCCAAATCTATATTCTGCCAAAGGTCATTTGGGACCCAACACCGGATGTGGTTTAAGGGCTTTATTCTCATTTTTAGTACAGTGGGTTCTCTATATTTAAAAGCCATTCAACTTTCCAACAATTTTCAACATTTCATTCAGTTTCAGAAAAAAAGGTGCGGTGGGACCCCAGATTCCATCCTCTCAGTAAGAACCATATGAGGAACTGAAATAAGTGAGTCCTCCTGACTTAAAGGAAAATGGCCTGTGTATTTCCACAGAAATGCAAATACAAGATGTACGGATTGGATCCCCTTACTGTTCAGATACTAAAAATAGCATCTGGTTCTTTGCCTATCTGTACTACAAGCCCCTGTGGCCCTGGATATTGGCAGTCATCCTAAATACATCATACACAGACATCAATTGTAATATCTTAAAAAAAAAAAAAAAAAAGCCTGGGATTTGATTCATAAAATAATGGCACGAACTTCCTCTCTTTGGAGAATTAAGCAATCATTCTACTTTGCCCTGATATTTTTAGTTTTCATTTAAAAATGTGTATTGGTAAGGATTGGAGTTGAGGAGAAATAGAAATGCTTCTTTTTATTGAAACCCCAGCCTTACCTTTCTTTGAGTCCATGGGCCCAAGTGTGTCATCTTGTATTTGTAACTGTCTGATTTCATAGGAAAAGGATGAGTCCACTTGCCTCAAAATATAATTTATTTATGCCTCTGTGCACCTAGATAGACCTGTCTCCAACTTATACGGTTATGGCATCCCCCTGTCATTTGGAAGTCAGCCAGTTAGAAACTAAGTGCAGTTTTTGCATGGAATTTTGGTCTCTGGTCTAGCCCACACAAAGCCACCAATGACAAACCAATGCAAAAGACACCGGGCCTTGAACCAGCATTATAATAAGATTTCTATGTAAAAGGAACCTCCAACCTGGGAGCTTTCTCTACCTGTCATCATTTTCTCTAGTTGCAGTGGGCTAGGCAACTCATCCAACCGTTTCATTTATCTGCTTTGCAATTTAAGATGTGACTCCCTCAAGTTCACAGTTTTGGTTTCCCATGGCTGGGGACAACATGAGAGGAAGCTGTGGACTGGGATGGGGGCTGCTGGGGTGCTGAGAGATAAATGTGAGGGCTGGGAGTAAAGAATTGTTATCTAGGAATTCCTAGCAGAGCTGTAAACTCCTTCTTTCAAAAGCCCTTGTGCGCTTTCTTTTTTATTTCTTTAGTAGCCTCAGCAACAGCCTCTTTCCTTTTTATACTGTCTTGCCTGTTGCTTCTCACCTGAAACCACAGAGGAGTTTTCCATCTTAGTTTTTCTCTTATCATTTTGTCCCTAAAGCAAGCCTACGGCTATTCTGAGTTTTCTCAGAAGGATAGAAATGCTCTTGCTTGCATGGGCCCATTCACTGTTATTCATCTAAGCCTCCAAAGAAGTTCAAAGACCAAACACTAAAAGAAAACCCAGGCTGTGTTGGACATTTCATCCTTGGATCTGGTATAGGTCGAGTAAAGGAGGACGAAGCTATCCAAATGGATATGCAGTCCTTGTTTTTGGCAACACACAGTTCATTAGCGACCTTAACAAGAACAGTTTTGGGAGAGTAAAGCATCAAAAGCAAGACTGGAGTGGTTTCAAGAGAAAAGTGAGAAGAGAGGAAGTATGGGCAATTATTTCAGGATGTTTTGCTATAAAGGGAGCCAAGAATTGAGGTAGGAGCTGGAGTAGGATGTGGAGACAGATTTTTTTGTCTGAAGATTGGGGTTATATACTTGTATGCTGAAGGGAATAGCCACAGGGAGAAGGAAACGTTTACAGTGCAGGAGAGAGAGGATACAGCTGCCAGAGGGATGTCTTTGGATAGACAAGCGAAGCAGTATCTGGTGCTCACCTTGAGGGCTCATCCTCACAGGGGAGCACAGAAGGTTGATTGATCCTAAGGGGAGGGAAGGAATGCATGTGTGTGCAGCAGGTAGATCAGAGATGTTCGGGGGGAGCTTGTGGGAGTTCTCTTCTGGTTGCTTCTGTGAATGAGTTAAATGAAAGTGAGGGAGGACATGTTGGAGGTTTGAAAAGAGAGGAAAGGTGTGAAATTGTTGTCTAAAAGAATAGAAGAGGGAATGGACTAGGGAATTGTAATGGGATTAAGGTCGTGCTTGACATTTATAGTCATGAATTTAAGTGAGACCAGGAAAGGAAAGCAGGATGTGTGTGACCTTGGACATACTGTAGGAAGGTAGTTTACATAGGTATACTATCTGCTTTACAAAGTTATTACGAGAATTCAATGTGACAGAAAGCATTTTGAAGTACAGGACATCATTATTATGAAACTTAGCTTTGAATTACTTAACACTTTTCTTTGGCAAAAAGCTTTTCAAATGTCTTTAAGACAGCCTCAGTCTCTCTAGAGACAGCATTTGGCTTCTGCCACCAATTTACTCAGTAACTACATCTAAGCAAGTGACTTTACCTCCTTTTGCTTTCACCCTTCAATCTATAAAATGAGGGAGGTAACACTTAAAGTGCAACAACTACTTTATAAATAAAGGTGCTATATGAATACACACTATTCATAAGATGGTATTTCAGCCTCACTTGGTATGGTCACTAGAAAGTCAGAAAGGTCAGCGCCTCTGAATAAGCCCTCAGCCTTGGGTGGGAGATCCTCCTTTAGAAAGCTTTGAAAGAGGAAGGAAGGAGAGTACCTCTAAGTAGGTGTCACCCATATTATTTCCTTTAATCCTCACAGGTACTCTGCAAGGTTGATTATTAGAACCTGAGACTTGAAGAGGTTATGTAACCTTTTAAAGCCAAATGGTAGAGCTTGGATTTCAACACAGGTTTACCTCAAAATCTCATTCTTTTTACTTTGCCACGTATGGAATTGGGCTTGATACAGTATAGCCATGGAAACTACAGGATTTTATTTGCACACACACACACACACACATATAAATATATAAATCTACTTGTTTTTGACAGCATGCAGCTCATTAGTGAACATATTTTTTCATACATATATAATCTCCTTGTTTTTAACAACACGTAGTTCATTAGTGCACATATTCTTTTCATATTCCAGACCCATATCTAAGCCAATTTAATCTCTGCCATCAAACATTCAATTAGAGTTGCCCAGTAGCAGAATTAACTTGTTTGTTGGAGGTATCGTCACAATGAGTTTACAAGAAATCAAACGACAGAAGATAGGACCACTCAAGGGAAGGAGCAGTAAACTGACTAAAAATCTGGACCCTGCTACAAATGCAATTTTCAAGCACTCTCTGAGGCAGAAGGGTGGGTGCTAGAAAAAAACATACATTTATGTGGTCATGAGAACTGCAGGTATATGTCCACTGTGCTCTTTCCTACAAACACAGTATGTACATTAGAAGCCACAGAGCATAAACTGCTCTAAGAGAAAATCACTGCTCTATTCGATTTTGATTTTTGAGTAACAATTGCCCACCTGATAGAGAAGGTGATAGGAAAAGTGTATTTATTTTCTTCCAACAGCTAAAAGGTGATCATACTTCTATAATTTGTGGAGATTGTCCAAGAAAGTGTGTAAAATACTCATCCATCACTGGAAGCCCCTGGTCAGGAAATGACAGTGCAGTAAATATCTTCAGCAGCCACCTTTTAATGTACAAGCTGTTTTCAGTTGGAATTTTCAGCACTCACATAAAACACACTGTCATGAGTGACTGCTTGTGCTCCAAAGTCATTACTATTGGGATAATGGAACATCTCTCAGCGAATAACCAAAAAACTTTAAATGTCATGTCAAGTTTGTTGAAGCCATTTTCAAACCCTGTTCAAGGTTACATGAATATTGAGGATATCTGTTTATTTTTACCAGTTTGAGATATATGAGAGAGATCACTCATAAGGCTGTGCAATGTGAGATTCAGTTAATTAAAAGAAAATCTAGGTCTCTTTGGGAAAGTCAATCAGCCACAGCCATTTAATCATTAGCTACTGCACCTCCTCACAGCCTTGATAAGTCAAGATCACCATCTCTTACCAATAAAAGGATATATGTGCGTATGTGTGTTCATGCCTGTATGTATAGATGTGTATATAGTTGACAATTAACTTATGACATAATCATGGTCTCCTAAGAAGTTTTAACTATTTGCCTGCCAAATTCATTTTTTCACTTAAGGAAAATTATTGACTTTTAAAATTCTTATTAGAAACTTTCCTCCTTGGTTTGGTTCAAAAAGGAAATTAATCTCATAATTATTTGAACTAATGCTTATCTTAGGTCAGAGAGTACAGAGATACTTTCTTTACCCAACACATTTATTAGGCACCTACTTTGTAACAGGGCCATTTTAAGCACTGAAGCTACAGCAGTACTTAAAATAATGTCCCTGTTGTCTTGGAGCATACATTCTCGTAAAGTGACAGACAATGGACAAGTAAACAAATATATGATGTGTGTGGTGGTCTTGCGTTCTCTGAAGGAGAAGATGGGAGAAAGGCAATAGACCAATAAAAAGAGTGAGTGCTATTTTAGATAGAGGGTTAGGGGAGGTCTCTCCATTTAAATGGCATTCTAGCAGAGACCTGAAAGATATGAGACCAGGCCCTGATAATCACCAAGTGACAAGCATTTCAGGCATAAAGAAAGAAGGAAAGAGACACTGGTGCTATTGAGATGGTTATCTATTATATTTTATTCAATTCTTAACCTCTGTGTGTTTATTTTAAATCTACCTTACTCTGTTGAATGTTTTTAGTTTAGCCTAAGAACTGTTTATTGAAAATAATTATTTTAAGTTTACATTTCATAAAATGCACAGTCCTTATCATAGTGATAAGTTTTCTGTTTCTTTCTTCCTCACTGTAGAAAATCAGAAAATGCAGTTGACAGAAGGGTCACGTTCACACTACAATATCAATTGCAACTCAACAAGGACTCCAGTCACCAAGGAGCTTAATTATAATCTAGACACTCATACGTCTACAGGAAGGATCAAGGCAGTTGAGAAGAAGGAAGCCTGTAATGTAGAAAGCAACAGAAAAAAGGAAATGGATCTTCTTGGCTCTGTTTCTAAAAACGAATCAGTTCCCGAAGTTGAAGCCCTGCTGGCAAGATTACGAGCCTTATAAATTAAACTGGTAAAAAATGATTAAGCCAAATATAAAGCCATGCTCTAAGCTATAACACTTGAAAAAATTGCTTTTATATAAGTTACTTTATATAGTTTTAAATTATGATATACATTAGAAAATAAAGCTAAATACACGATTGCAATGCTTTTTCTATGTACTTGAGGTTTTGGCTTATTCAAGAAGGTAATGGGTTTTAACGCTTTTTATGGCTCCTGGTATTCATCTGTTCTATATTTGGTGGCTAAATTATACATATTGCTTTAGAGAGCAGGTAGGTGGCCATGTGTTCAGCAATGTGTCCTCAGAAAATACCATCTTTCTAAGACACGGTAATTTTTACTTTACTATTTTCAACATTAATGAATGTCAAATCATCAACCTCAAATCTTGCTACATATCCATGTATAGTCCATGTATATTATTTATATAGGCCCAGGTTTCTCCTTAATTGGGGTCTACCCGTGCTACCAGCATAACATCAAAAACATGTAACTGACGATATCAAAGCTGTAGGAAATGAATGGTAACCTCATGATCATCATTGTCGAGTTCATGTTAATTAGACTCTGTAGGGGACTATAAGCAATTGAGCACATTTCCAAAAGTGATGCAATGAGAATGTATGCACTCTCTCTACCCAATGCATGTTCTTTTGTATAAAGTGAGTATACACAGTGTTACAATGCTGCTGAAACTCCTGGTCTTAGCCAAGAGAGCATTTTTCCCCTGGTAATTATGACACCGGGCTAAAATTGCCATTTTGAAACTTCCCAAGTAACAAATTTCTTGATTTTTGTGGACAAACTTGTAATTCCAATATTTTGATATGACAATCACTAGCTTTGGCAAAAATCTGAATAGGTGTTCACATGCAAATGTAATTTTACCTCATTTGAGCATCATTGCTCTGTTAATTCCATATCAAAGAAAATAAACTTGCTACTTGCACTAAATGAAAAAAGAATTGCTTTCTTCATTCTCTCTTTCTCTCAGTGAATATCTTCTTTGGATAAGCTGGAGACAGACTGTGCTATGCAGTCTGTCTCAAGCATCTATTTTGCTTTATTACATGTGATAACTAAGTGACTGCCCTTTTACCTTCAGTTAAAAAACAGGTATATGGAACTAGTCTGGTGAGGTCCACTGCTTTTATGTCCTTAAGTTGCCACCTCTTTTCAGCTCTAAGTTAATAAAGTTAATTAATTAGAACTATGAACCAGCCTGTTTATAGACACTGAGGAACAGTGTGTTATCCGTAGCCAATGTAAGAATAAATTTGTTCCTGTATATATTGCTGAAATGTGCATTTTGCCTTCCAATTGCAATTTCTATTTTCCTGAAAACAAATCTTAAAAATCAAGAAAAGTGAAGGACATTTACACATTTAGGAATTCAGCAGCCCTAACAGCTGCTGTTTAGGAAAGTTCAATGAAAGAATTCTGACTATCAGTTCTTAATGTGCTTTTGCAAAGACTTGGGCTTTCAGAAACAAAACTTAAATTCAACCAGATAGTTTGGACACACCAGGCAGCAGGTAAACACTCTGGGAACTTGGAGCCACATGGCAGCCACATGGGGAAGATGACACAGACTCCCAGGGGCAGAGGAAGGCAGAGAAGTCCAGAAACCGAGAGGCAGGCCCAGAGCATCTGCCCACAGGAGCTGAAGGACACTGCAAGCAAGAGGACCTGAAGCCTGAGGCAAACAGAGCAGCAGCAGCGCTGGCCTCCTGCAGGTCAGCAGCCAGCACTCTCTCCCTCAGTGACAGGAGCTAGTTCTGAGCGGGCCTGAAGAGAAGAACCAGAGCTGTGGAGAGGAAAACTCAGAATGACTGAGAGAGGCAATTGCCAACTCAAGGAACAGAGTGTTTCCTGTTGGAGATATTTTCTTGGTAAATGCCCCTTCAACAATGGGCTAGGGGTATAATTCGTATTTTTAAATTCACAATATTCCTTTAGGCAATTATAGATGAAAACCATAGCAGTGGCCTTTAATTTGAGGGTAGACACTGAGGTACAATTTTGTGTTTCTAAGCAAACAAATTTTTTTATTTGAATTAGCAGGTATGATGGTTAATTTTGTGTCAACTTGACTGGGCTAAGGGATGCCCAGACAGCTAGTAAAACATTATCTCTGGGTGTGTCTGTGAGGGTGTTTCTGGAAGAGACAGCATTTGAATTGACAGACTGAGAAAAAGATCCACCCTCACTAATGTGGGTGGGCATCATCCAATCTGTTGAGGAATTAAATAGAAGAAAAAGGCAGAAGAAGGGCAAATTAGCTCTCTCTGCTTGAGCTGGGACATCCATTTTCTCCTGCCCTTGGGCATTGACACTCCTAGTTTTTGGCCCTCTGGACTCAGCTTGGGATTTATACCATTGGCTCTTCTGGTTTTTTGAGCTTGGACTGAATTACACCACCAGCTTTCCAGGCCTTCAGCTTGCAGATGGCAGATCATGATTTGCTATAGCAGTATTTAAAATAATGTCCCTGCTGTCTTAGAACATACATTCTAGTAAAGAGACAATGAACAAGTAAATAAATATATGATGTGTCCATCAGTCATGAGTTCTATGCTGGAAAAGGTGATGGGAACGGGATAGAGCAATGAAAAGCGTGAGTGCTATTTTAGATGGATGGTTAGGAAAGTCCTCTCCATTTAGAGGATGTTTGAGCAGAGACTTGAATGAAATTTGGCACCAAGACCTAATAACCAAGTGATAGCCATTTCAGGCATGTTCCATCTAGGCCAATAACAAACCCTGAATAGATTATTCTCCCCTTTCTCACATCAGTGTAGAAAATTTGGCTAGAACACATAGACAACTACATGATCATTGAGTTGTCCCAAAGCAAAGACCTACTACTGAAATGAACAGGACTGAAGCTATGTTGGGACCTAAAACCACATAGTCTCTAAGAGATTTTTAAAGGACACAGTTCTTTTTCTTGGCACTCATTTCTCTGAGTTCCCTCTTCTCCCATGGTTATTTGATATTCTGAGCCTTGGTTATGGGGCAAGATGACATTATTTACATGAATGTAAAGTTGTTTTCCAGCCAGCCTGCAGCTGCAAATTTGCAGACCCTGGGAAACCAAGGAAGACATCAATAAAGCTATGCTGATTCCACCCCTCCAGCAGGACCATGAGATAACAGGAAGGTACAGGAGCAGAAACTAGATGGAGTTTTGGCAAGATTTTGCACCTGAGACCTTGCTTAAAGCCCTCACCACTCACATCCCCCTTTCCTCCTGCTTTTCATTTCCCACATTCCATTCTCTTGGAACTCTTTAAAACTCAGTAAATTTGAGTCTTTGAGATGGCTTTAGCCTGGCCATTCTCTTTCAGGTTTACTGGAGAGATGGATTAGCCTAACATCTCTCCTCGGGTCACCAGTATTCCTGAATAAAAGCTGACTTCCATTTGCACCAACTATTTGACTTTTGAGTGGTCTGTTTTTGAAAGGGATCAGGCAGCCAGATCTGTGTGCCCTGTAACACTACTGCTAACAAGTTTTCCCAATTAAATATTTAAAGTAATTTAAAAATAATGGAAGCAACCTCATTATACATGTTTGTATGTCCTTTTTTGTTAACATAATTTGAATATTTAAACAAAATATATCAAAAACACCTGTTTATATGAAGAAGTAGACATATCCAGGATTCATATCAAAATTTTCTGGTAAATCTAGAAAATGCAATTACTTTTACCAAGTTGCTTCAAAATGCTTGGTTGTTAACATCCTACTTATTCAAAACTAGGAATTATTCATGACTTTAAAATGCTAGTTTGGCTATAAATGATTATTTTCTGGGTGATTCATTTTTATTTTAAAATATCATAATCTAATGTAGATTTGAGTTTACAAGTTAGAAACTAAATTGCTTAGATGACCCCTCCTCCCACAACCAGGCAGGCTGCCCCTGCTATGGGGCCCATCCCTGCCATGAGGCCTGCCTGGGGTTCTGAGACATGGATCTGGGGACGACCCCTGATCCCATATCCAGGCAAGAAGCATGCCAAAACACCACTTCCACGTGGGTAGTCCACCACATCCACCACATAGCCACAGCTGCCACAAAAGAGGCTAGATGCCACAACCACCATGCAGATGGCCTGCCAGCCACTCACATGCATTTACACAAGGAGAGTCACCAGCAGAGACCAAAGAAAAGAGGAGGGTCTCTCTCTCCACAAAGCCCATTCCAGAGTAATAGAAGCAGCATCTATGCTACAATAATAGTAGGGGACCTGAACAAACCTCTCTCAGCACTGGGCAGATCATCTAGGCAACACAGTAACCATTACTCTTTCAGAAGGAGAAAACTAGGATTACCAGAGGGGGGAGGAGGGAAGAAAAGGGGGATGGGGAGAGAATTAATAAGGGGCATAAAGAATAAGTACAATTCGCAATAATGTATATGCTAATTATATTGATTTGATCAACATAGTCGATGTTTAACTCCAAAAATATGTATAATCAATTATGATTCAATAAAAAAATTAAAAAACCAGATTTAAAAGCAACATATCAAAATTTATAGGACACAGGGCTCATGCAGTGCTTAGAGGGAAATTTATACTTTAACACCAATATTAAAAATAAGAAAAATCTTGGGCTGGCCCGGTGGCGCACTGCTACAGTGCGCCGCTTCGGAGCGCGGAGGCGCTCCCGCTGAGGGTTCGGATCCCACATACAGACCGGTTCCCACTCACTGGCTGAGCGAGGTGTGGGAGCAACACCGAGGGTTGCAATCCCGTTGCCGGTCCCGGTCCGGTACGGGCGCGACACTGAGGGTTGCAATCCGTTGCCGGACATGAAAAAAGACAAAAAGGAAAAAAAAAAGAAAAAAGAAAAATCTCAAATCAGTAACGTAAACTCCTGCCTTAAGAAAATAGGAAAAGTGCAAACTAAACCAAAAGCAAATATAAGTAGGACATAACAAAGCTTACAACAGAAGTATATGAAATAGGGAATTAAAAAACAATAGAGAAAAATCAACAAAACAAAAAGTTGATTCTTTGAAAAGATCAACAAAATTTGCAAACCTTTATCAGGATTGACCAAGAAAAGAAAAAAAGAAGGGCATTAATACATTGCTATTATTGGTTTTTGTGGTGGTAAGATTTAGTTTCTTTCTCTTTCTCATTTACATTTTTGTTCTCCTAGTGGGTTTTGTTGTTTCTTGTGTATTCATGATAGTGATTATCATTTTTTGTATTCCAGATGCAGAACTTCCTTGAGAACTTCTTGTAAGGCTGGTCATGTGGTGGTGAACTCCTGCAGTTCTTGTTTGTCTGGAAAATATACTTTTTTCCTCATTTCTGAAAGATAGCCTTTCTGTTTACAGTGTCTTGGCTGGCAGGGTTGGTTTTTTTTATAAATATTGTTATGAGTAAATCATCCCATTTTCTTCTGGCCTGTAGAGTTTCTGTTGAGAAGTCTGCTTTTAGTCTGATAGGGGCTCTCTTATAGGTGACTTGATGCTTTTCTCTTGCTTGTTTTAAGGTTCTCTCTTTGTCGCTGAGCTTTGCCAGTTTGACTATAATGTGTCTCGCAGAGGATCTTTTTGGGTCAAATATGTTTGAGGATCTTTGAGTCTCTCCCTAAACCTGCGAAGTTTTCCGTTATTTCATTGAATAGGTTTTCTATGACTTTTCCTTTCTCCTCTTCTTCTGGAACACCCATGTTTCAAATGTTTGTGCACTTAAGGTTGTCTGCTAGCTCTCTTAGATTTTCTTCATTCTTTTAAATCCTCTTCCTTTTTTTTTTTTTTTTTCTTTTGTCCACCTGAGTTATTTCAAAAAGACTATCTTCAAGGTCAGGAATTCTTTCTTCTGTTTGTTCTAGCCTGCCGCTTAAGCTCTTGGTTATGTTTTTTATTTCACTGAGTGAATCTTTAAGTTCCATGAGTTCTGCTACATTCTTTTTTAAGGTATTAATCTCTTTGTAGATT